CCAGGACTACGAGATCTACTGGCCCCAGCTATAAACACTTAAATACCCCTCCACATGGGTGGTAATATCTTCATTAGGCCCGGGGATGACCACGTCGTTATCTTCCCATTTACAATCATCTCTGACTACCGGAACGGTATCTTCAGTGACGGAGCATATGTATCTCAATGCTCCCTCGCCTCAGTCTTGTTGAATAGAGGCCTTCTTGACCTTGAAACCATCCCCAATAGAGCAACCCCCGTGTATAAAGCTCTTCATAGGAGGCTCATGAGCTCCTCGGGGGCAGACACTTTGACGCCCATGGCCGGATGGGAAGATGAGGGAGCCACTTGTTGTGGTATAGACTTGAAAGTTTTGGCCATCGTGACCTGGGAAAATATGAAGACTTGAAAGAGAATATGAAGATTCAAAGGAAAAATATGAAGATTTGAAGAAAGAATATGGAGGTTTGAAGGTTAGAGATGAATATGTGAAGATCTGAGTTGGAAATCCAAAAAAAATATGAAGGTTAGAAGGCCAAAGATGAAGATATGAACGTTCAAGAAGCAGGGTATGGAGACAGAGGCAGATATAGGATTTGAAGGTTTCAGGTTCCATATTATTTAATACGTAGACGTATTATTATTTATACATTCCAAATGGGATAAATATTTAGTCGGTTTGATCAACTTTGTGCTTCGGTTCGAGCTATTCATCTTTTCAATTTATATAGATAAATATATCGAATTAAAAAAAATTATGACAACTTAGCGCACATCATAAAATTTTCAGCAGTAGTACCAATTTCATAAAATTTCTTCTACATGAAAAATACAAAAAGACAACCACTTCTTTCATCTTTGACACGTGGAAATATCTTTCAATTCACAAAATACTACCATAATCAGTTGGTCACTACAACTAATAACTAAGACATACATAATTCTTTCATCCTCGAATAAACAAAAACATACATATACATCATTCATTTACAATTCTCCTCGACAAGTTTTCATAGTTTGAAAACGATCAATGATAGTATCATTACTTACCTTTTAAAAAATCATACAAAATCTAATATAATTAGAGATTCAAGAGAACAATATGCACAATAACACAATAAAGTATAATTGGAACAGAGACAAAAATTAAATCTGAATTGAATAAAAGAAAAACAAGGGAGAAAATGAAAGGGTCAAAGGGGTGTAGTAACTTGTAAGTTTATACTATTAAATATTAACAATACCACCAAAAATATTTTATTTTCAGAGAAACCCAACATAAAAAAATTAAAAAAGCAAGACAATAAGAGAGATTTACAGTCAAATTACAAAGTAGTGGTACAGCAACAAGGTGAGGTGCGATGGATAAGTGGATGCCAAATGGTGATGGCCGGCCGCCGGTGAGTGACGGACTAAAAAAGTGAAAATCCAAGAGTCCCCAAGTTTGGGGCAGTAGCACCGTAGCAGGTAAGGGTCTTGGGTGGGAAATATTTTTGGAGAAATAAAGGAGCTTTTGTTATTTTAATGTATTTAAAAGAAAGCACAATAGAAATAGAATAGTCAAACAATATCAAATAAGTCAAAAAGTATTAATAAAGTAAAACAAAGAACAAATAAAAAAGAAACCAAGTGAAATGTTCGTACGCCTCACACAAAAAAAAAATAATTGTCCAATAATACTAATAAAAGTTCAAAAGTTATACGTGTTGCATTGGTCTCAAACTCGCGCTTGTAGGGAGTTATTTTCGGGCCTTCACCATTGGCACCCAGTGGTTGTTTTGCTCATTTGGGTGCCATTTTATTATATGTACAATATTTCTTCTACACATATAGATATATTCACAGAGTTCCGATCGAGGTCTGCGGGTGGCGGCGCACCCCCTCGGCTCTATGTAAATCTGCCCCTGTATGGAGATTTGAAAAAGTTGAAAGCCGTTAGAAAATTCGAAGGTAAAATCTAGGATCGAAAAGTGAATGAAATGCAAAAGGGAAAAGCTTTTATAGGGGAAAAAGAAACAGTCAATGCGCAACGTTTCACATTCGAACACAGCCAGCCGAGGACTGACATGTGTTGAGAGTCTGAACGACACGACTGACAGGACGTTTCGGCTTATCCGTCACCTTGGTTGTAATGTACGAAGGAAGGAACCAGGGTTCATCTATCGTTTCCTATCATTTCGGCAAACCTACTCTCCAGAAAATGAGGGGACTATCTGTATATGAGTAAAATCAGGGATAGATCACGCACCGAATTTATGGTGGTGAAAATGGAAGAAGGACACAGACACACAAAACTAAAATCGAGCACGAAAACCCTTCGTGTAGATACCCCTGAAAGAAGAACGACGTGTCATTCTCGGGCATGATAAAACGACGGTCCCCGAACTCGGAATGAGTTCTAAGACCTCGAGAAACATTGTAAACAGTTATGCATGGCGGATAAGGGGCCGTGATATTCATACCTGACCGGATATCAAGGCGCGGATCTCGCTCGATGTTGATTACAGATAAATTATTAACGAACAAATAAGATTTTTACCTTTTTTAGACCTGTACTAGGGATGAAACTCTCCTACTATATAAAGGGGAGGTTTTTCTTTCTTTGGGAAAAGGGTAACATGCAAACCAAGGTAATATAAATTCATTTTTTTACTTTCTAGCCATAAAAAAGTTCTTACTTCACTGTTTGTTCTTCGATCATAATTGGTTTCGAACTAAGGATCCGACTGAGGGCAAAACCACTGTTCAACTTAAGTTCGAACTAGGCCATAACATTATATTTGGTTTGATTATTCATTTTGTCTTTAAATCATTTATCTAATATTCTTGATTATTTGTGTTGAATCAATCCACATATTCTTAAAACCGCGTACAAACTTAATTGTTATCCGTTTTAAAGGTAAACACAAACATAAATTGATCTCGGATATTGTAATATATAATCACACAATTCTTGCATCTAAATACATTAAATATGTAACGACTATATCACCCAGCGCGTTTCTCCACGCTCCACCCGATGGAGCCGCCGGGAGGCCTACTTCCGGCGAGTAAGGAGAAGCAAAACCCCCCTATTGAGGGAGCAAAACATCCCACTGAAGGAATTCAAAAGAAAATCTCTTATGCAACCTCAGTCACAGCCCCGTCTTCTTCCAATTCGAACCCAATCCGCCATGAAAGGGAGCAAGTAATTGCAAAGCATACAACTCACAATGGAATGCCAGCAGTGATATTCAAGGCTAAAGACTATTAAGGCATAATGCCAGAAGAATGTAAGTACACAATTGTTGGTCGATTTCTTAAACCTCGACCCAAAATTGATAGAATTAGGTCAAGGTTTAAGGAGCTGATAACTTTGAAAGGATCCGCCAGAATTGGTGTTTATGATAATTACAATGTCTTCATCGATCTATTCAACGAGGAAGACTGGAAAACGGTATGGTTTAAAAGAGTGATTGAAATTGATGGTCGGAAAATGTGGCTACAAAAATGGTCCCCTGATTTTAAACCTAAGGAAGATCTCCCTGTTGCCCCAGCATGGGTATTACTGCCGAGACTGTCTTTCCATATGCACACATGGCACTATGTTAAATAGATCCTCAGTTCCGTTAGAACCCCTTTGGTTCTAGATGCGGCTACCCATAGAAGAACTAGACCAAGTATGGCCAAAATAAGGGTGGAAGTTAATCTCCTTAAGCCTCTGCCGGAAAGTGTATTCATAGGCCAGGAATATGAGGATTCACCATTAGATGGTTACACTCAGAAACTGGAATATGAGGGCATACCTAAGTATTGTAAACATTGTAGAAAACTGGGACACAACGTGATTGAATGTAGGGCATTAGATAAGAAGATTGCTACTAAGGCTGAGGAAGTGCAAGACAAAACCAAGGAGTAGCAAACCAAGAACAAAGCAGCTGGTAAAGAAGAAGAACACAACAACAGGCTGGAGAAAAAAGAGACTGATACTATGCAGAATCAGGAACCATCAGAGGGTGAACAGACTCTGAAGACAATAACAAAAAACATTGAGGAGGAAGAGATAAAATAGAAAACAGACAACCCTATACTACAACAAACGACTGATGCTGAAACAAAAAGGAAGAAGAAAAAGAGTAAAAAAACAAAGAAAATGCCAAAAAAGAAGAGCAGTGTCAAATTCAAACCTGTTATTAGAGATAAGAACACTAGGAAACACTATCAAGTCAAGAGCCTAGCAATTCCACTTCAAATTGTAGACTCGAAGGCTGAAGGAAACCACAAAGAGAATGTCCTAATTCAAGAGCGAGGAGCTGAGGGGGAACCCACTATGGTTACTAACCAACTTCAAGACTCCAGGGAAATCAGAGCAAAGAGTACAGGGCAGGAGGTAGAGAGCAGTGAGGAAAAAGCCAGTGATCAAAACAAGCACAAGGGAGACAATCAAGAGAATAATACATACACAGAGGCTACATCTGAGGATGTCCAGTCAACTAGCTTACCCTCGGAGATCAAAAACCAAAAAGTCATAAATGTTTGTGTTGATCTTAACTGGGATCACAGGATAAATCAATGCCAACTGCCTGAATGTTGCAACCAAGGACACACTAACTGTGTGGAAGAAGAAACCACTATGGAATCAAAAAACATGACTGATGGAGAGGAGGTTAATTCTCAAAATCAGAATGAAGATGGAATTTCCTATTCGAGAGGAAGAAGTAGAAACAGAAAGAATGACAGGAAGAAAAGCAAACAAAAAGACCTCACAGAGATTGTTGCAAACTCCATAGACAAAAGTGAATCACCTCTGTCCAGAGGAAGAAGCAGAAACAAAAAAGCAGGAAAACAAAACAAAAACAACACATCCCCTTCTGGTAAAGGAAGAGGAAGCAAACAACAACCCTCCCCCTCAACCCAATGATTAGTACAATCTTCTGGAACATAAGAGGGGTGAGATTCAAGAAGGCTATTCACAGACTTAAACTTCTTATCAACATCAACAAGGTGGTTTTTGTGGCAATCTTTGAACCCTTTGTTGATATGAGTAAGATTAATCGATACAAAAGGTTCTTAGGATTTCATCATTGCCAGGCTAATGTCAATGGTAAGATCTGGTGCTTCTGGAACTACTTGGATCACATTGAGGTATTGGTTAACAGTGAACAACATATTACTCACAACATGAAAGAAAATGTTGCAGACTCAGGAACCTTCATTACAGCAGTATATGCCAAATGTACTACTAGTGAAAAAAGAGATCTGTGGGATAGTATTCATAACATGAACAACACTATTGATGGCCCTTGGTGTATTGGTGGTGACTTCAACATTATCATGGATCCGACTGAAAAACTAGGTGGTAATCCTCATCGAGCATACAGAAGTCTGGATTTTATTAGCACTATGGAATCTTGTGGATTAATGGACATTGGATTCACTGGCCCAAGATACACTTGGTGCAACAATAGAAGACCTAGCAAAAGAATTTGGAAGAGACTGGACAAGATTATGATCAATGAGCAATGGGCTCAACACTTCCAAAATAACACTGTGAAGCATTTGGTAAGGAATGGTTCTGATCATAGACCCCTTCTTTTGAAATGTCACAACGACCAACATCAGCACATCAAATACTTCAGATTCCTCAACTTCTGGACCACTCAACCTGTCTTTCTAGATATGGTTCAGGAGATTTGGAATACCAATATTCAAGGTAATGCTATGTGGAGGCTCAAAAGTAAGCTGAAACTTCTTGCTAAGCATCTCAGTCAATGGTCAAGGGAAAACATAGGGGACATTCATGAACAAGTAAGTTCCTGGGAAGCTAAGGTGCAAATCCTAGAAGAAATGGATATGCAAAATAACAATGAGCAAGGAAGAGAAGAGCTAAACAGAGGCTATGCTGAATACGCTAGATGGCTGGGAATGCAAGAATCCTTGATGAAACAGAAAGCTAAGATTAATTGGTTCAAGGATGGTGACTGCAACACTAGCTATTTTCATAGTATTCTGAGAGACAGAAGAAGAAGACTTCAACTACACAGAATGAAGAATCATAGAGATAGGTGGATACAAGGAGAGGATAAAATTGCTAAGGCCGCTGTCAAGCACTTTAAGAGTTTCTTCAATCTCAACCAGCAGCCTAGTGTGAGCAATGATATGCTGAATTGCATCCCTAACCTTACTACAGAGGAAAACAATGAAAGGTTGACTATCATGCCTTTAGAAGAGGAAATCAAAGATACTGTTTTCAGTATGAGCATTGAAAGTTCTGCTGGACCTGATGGCTTTAATAGGAAATTTTTTCAGGCTACATGGGATATCATCAAGCAGGACATCATTGAGATTGTCAGGGATTTATTTAAAGGGAATAACCTCACTAAATTTTACTCACACACCTGCAATGCCCTTATCCCTAAGGTGGAATCTCCGTCCAGATTTGAAGAACTCAGACCCATTAGTTTGGTGCAACTACACTAGCAAGATCATATCTAAACTTTTATCCAGAAGATTAAACCCTCTTCTTTCTAAGCTCATCTCTGAAAACCAAAGTGGTTTTGTCTCTGGGAGACTAGTCACGGAAAATGTCGTGCTAGCTCAGGAAATCATTCATGATATCTCAAAACCAAACAAAGGGGGAAATACTGTTATGAAACTTGACATGGCTAAAGCATATGACACGTTATCTTGGGGTTTCCTTATTACTGTCCTTAAAAAAATTGGGTTCTGTAAAGAATGGTCTGATATGATTTGGAGAATGGTCTCGAATGTTTGGTACTCGATTATTATTAATGGTACTAGACATGGCTTCTTCACCTCTTCTCATAGGCTTAAGCAAGGTGATCATTTATCTCCCTCTCTCTTTATTCTTGCTGCAAAAGTATTAACAAGATCCTTGAACAACCTCATTCATAAGGAGAACTTCACTAGCTTCTCTATGAATAAGAGAGGACCTCAAATAAATCATCTTGCTTATGCTGACGACATTGTTATTTTTTGTGGTGGTAATTCAAAAACTGTCAAGATGGTAATGAAAGAGATCAGAAAATATGAAAAGACTTCGGGTCAGCTTGTCAATAAGGATAAAAGCTTTTTCCTCACTGGCCCTAAAGCTAGTGCTTACAGAATCAACAGGTTAAGGAATTGCACAGGCTTTATGGACAAGAGCTTCCCTTTCACCTATCTTGGTTGCTCAATATATGTTGGAAGGAAAAAGATATGTTTCTTTGATAACATGGTTACCAAAATTGTGAAGAGGCTTAATGGATGGCAAGGTAAAATGTTAACCTATGGGGGTAGAGTGGTTCTCATCAAGAGTGTTTTGCAATCTTTGCCCACTTACACGCTTACTGCTCTAAACCTTCCCAAAGGCACTCTGAACCTCATTGAAAAACATATGGCTAGGTTCCTTTGGGGAGCTACTGGGAAAAAAAATAACTATTATTGGTGCTCCTGGAAAAACCTATGCTATTCTAAAGAGGAAGGTGGCATTGGTATTAAAAGTCTTGAAGATATCTCTGCCACCTTAACTATCAAGAGATGGTGGAGATTCAGAACAAAACCTTCATTATGGGCTGATTTTCTCAGAGCTAAATATTGCCCAAGGAGTCACCCTGTAAAAAAGAAATGGATCTCGGGCAATTCACAGGCTTGGAAACACTTGCTATGGGCTAGAGATAAAGCAGAAGGCAATATCATATGGCTTGTTAACGCTGGTGACTGCAACTTCTGGTGGGACAATTGGACAACGACAGGTCCTTTGGCTTATGGCAATAATAATATCACTACCTTCATTGGTAATAAAACCAGTGTTAGTGAGTTTATTAGCAATAGTGGCTGGGACTTGAACAAGCTAAGCAACACCCTCACACATCAAATGGTGGAAATCATTAGCAATATCAACATTGGCCAACAAACTGATACAGATGATGCTATATGGAATAGCACTGAAGATGGACAATACTCAAATAAATCTGCGTGGCATTCTATCCGCAAACAGAGACCTACAAATATGTTCTTCAGTAAGCTCTGGCATAACTCTATTCCTTTTAAATTCTCATTTCTTACTTGGAGATTGTGTCTAGGTAAACTCTCCTTTGATGAAGTACTTGCTAGATTTGGCAACCAAATGACATCCAGATGTTATTGTTGCAATATGCCTAACAATGACTCTATCCATCACACTTTTGTGGAGGGAGAAGCAGCTAAGCACATTTGGAAATACGTTGGTGCTCCTTTAGGAATCACTCACCACCAGAGGCCGATTAAAAGAGTTATTAAGGAATGGTAGGACATTATTTTAAAAAATGCTATACACAAACTCCTATTACATATAGCTCCTGTTGGGACATTATTTTAAAAAATGCTATACACAAACTCCTATTACATATAGCTCCTGTGGTAATTTGTTGGGAACTTTGGAAGAGCTGGACGGCATGTAAATATGGCGACCAAAAAAAATTCTACAAAAGCAAGATGGAATTCCAAACCTTCTGGAACATTCAAGCAGCCATTCAAATCACCTATCCAAGTTACAACTTAACAGGTACATGGCCCAACATTTGCAATATGATTGAAAGACTTCAACACACAGTGAATATCAAGCAAGTCACGTGGAATAAACCTATGGCGGGGATGATCAAACTCAATACAGATGGAAGCTTCAATAGAGGAGATAGAAAGGCTAGCATCGGAGGCATTGTTAGGGATAGTGAAGGAGATTTTCTGATGGCCTTCTCTCTTCCTGTACACACTAGCAGCAACAATCAGACTGAAGCAATGGCGGCCAACTTTGGCACTAAATGGTGCGTACAACATGGGCTACGCATGATTCATATTGAACTAGACTCCATGGTGATTGCCAACATGCTTCTCAACAGAGGAACCGACAACCTTAAGTTAAAGAACATTATCAAGGATACTATTCATGTTCTCAGAGATGCTACTGTACAGATCTCTCATTGCTTCAGAGAAGCAAATCAAGTGGCGGATTTTCTCGCTAAGTTAGCATCTTCAAGTGGAACTAGCACTTTCTATTACTCTCTCCAGCAACTGCCAAGAGAGGCCAAGGGACTATTTCAACTAGATAGATGGCAACTTTCTTCAATGAGAAGAAGATATGACAAATGTAATTTTTTTGTAAGTTGATTGTACAGTTTGTCTTAATGAAAGGAATCTAGGCTCTCCTTTCTTTCATCAGTATAGAGGTAAGGTCCATGTCCCCCTCTATTTTGTACCTTTTTGTTTATATATAGACATGGTAGGGGTCTTGCCTAACCCCCACACCAAAGGCTATAGCCTGAAGGTGATGGCTTCAAAAAAAAAAAAACATTAAATATGTAGTATGAACAAAAAGAAAGATTATATTTGGCACGCGTATGGGGAGAATGTCAAATTAGAAAAGATTCACAAAAGGAGTCAAGGAGTCTTACAAGAAGTGCAAGTTCTTCTACAGTCCAAGCTGAGCGGCTAATTCGGCCAGAATTCCCCAGATCACTGGAAAAGTAGCAGTTATATTAAGAATGATCATGATATATCGAAAGATAAATAGAAATAATGAATAGCCACTAAATAAGTACTGTTGGCTGCTATAAGCAGCATCATGTTGTACTTGTACCAGAATGATGTCACAATCTTATTCAATCTTCACTCACCTTGCTTGCCTTAGTTTTCATGGAAATACTAGTTCTATGAAAAGTCTTATACTGTAACAGCGTATAATTAAGAAAAAATTTGGATGATCTCTCCATTTGCCTTCCCTATATCTTCCATTCACTATTATGCAATTTTAATACTTCAAAGGCTGAAAATGCACCTTTGTCTTTTTTAGTTATTTTTATTTTTGTTTTTTGTTTTTGTATGGCCTGCTAAACCTATTATATTATTGTAAATACACTTAATTTGACTTATGAAAGTTGAAGTAAACCCGAAAAACTGTCCATCTTTTCATTCATTATCGTACAACTTTTACTAAATACTAATACTGCATTAGTAAAGATTGCCCTTTTTGGTTACATGCATGGTCTTATTTCATAGGATGAAGTTGAGTTCAGGTGTAACTAATCCTATAACCTGAGTCGAACGAATAAAATCTGATGAAATCTCAGATTTCAAGTAGTCAAAAAATCAGGAATCACCAATCTCCCATTCATCAAGGAGAGAGAGCACTTAGCAGTAGCAATTTGGAGGCAAAGACGCTACAATGTGGTTGGGTGCCATGTAGATTGAGAGGATCACACACTGCTTTAGAGAAGCCAATTAACAGAGTTGCTGACGCATTAGCTAATTGGGGAATAACTGTGAACAATCAAAGAATATTTTTTTATAGTTTCCAATATCAACTACCAAGAACTACAGCAACATATTGCAGTATGGACCAGCTTCAATTACCAAGTTTCACAATCAGACAAGTCAAACCTAGCATATACGATCTTTAAATGTTTGAGTTAATATATTATAATTGCACTATGTTTTTTTCATCACGTACGCATCGGTGTGTATATAGAGAAGGCAAGAAAAGCCTCGATTTCAGCATAGAAGCAGTGAATGAACAATCAGGACTAGCTTTTCCCATGTAATATGCTTCATCTTCCTTTTTCAATCACCTTATAAGCTGCCTGCAGCAATACCCGCTGAAAACAGAGGCACAACCTCAAAATCACTCGTTATGGAACATATGAATTAGAGTACTCTAGTATACTACAATCCATTTGTTTGATAAAGTTCTCTTACCTTCGGAAATTTCATTAACTCATGATTGTATCATTCTCATAGAGTGACTTCATCTTATCTTTTATGGCTTCTACCCTCTAATCTTTGTGAGTTCTTACATGGATTCATCATAACCCTCAGGTTCTCCCATATTGTGAAGATGTCTTATATTCGTGCGGTTTTAGATTTAGCCGCGAGTCTAAATTTAGAGGTTGAGCAGATGGATGTCAAGACTGCGTTTCTTCATGGTAGTTTAGATGAGTAGATTTGTATGGGTAGCACGAGGGTTCAAATTGAAAAAGAAAATTATGTCTACAAATTAAAAAAGCTCCAAGACAATAGTGATAGAAAACAAGGATAGAAAAAAAACTTCTTCAGATCACTGTGTATTCTTCCAGAAGTTCTTTGATGATGATTTTGTTATCTTATTGCTTTATGTGGATGATATGCTTATTATTGGTAAGAATAAATTACCAATAAATTCAAAATCATAGCCCTTAAGAAGCAGTTGAGCAATCATTTGCGATGAAGGACTTGGGACCGACAAAGAAAATTTTAGACATTCAAATCCATCGAAACAGAGATAGAAAGGAATTATTTAATCCCAAAAGCAATATATTGAGAAGGTACTCAAGAGGTTCGTGACAGATACAAAAGTGGTTAGTAATCTTCTTGCTAAACACTTTAAATTGAGTACTAGTAAGAGTCCATCTATTGATAAAGAGAAAAAAAGAGTTATCTCGTATTCCTTACTTTTCTTCAGTTGGTAG